TGTCTCACGCCGGCTCCGTGAAATGGAGCGGCGCAGTCAGAAGTTATCTTCCATTCCCCTCCCCTCTTCGCCCCTGCGTGCGCGTGCTGGCGAGGGCCGTGCCATGGCTATTGTTGTTCAGGCCGTGAGACGAGCCGGCGAGGCCGGCGAAAGCTCACCACAGAGCGCCTGCAAAACAAACTATCACATACATCACAGGTTTGAGATCGTCAATTGTTGTATTGCGCGGTTGCAGATACTCTGAGATCTCACCATGGCGTCCGGCAGCTACGGAGCTGGTGGTTCCGACGGGGATCAGGGCCGCGGCAGGACAGCTCTCCAACCAGCTTGGCCAGTGCAGCAGCATCATCAGCCACGTGCGCCTTCCGGTCGTGAGCGGACCCCGCGTCCGCAGCTTCAAGGACACGATGGGCGGGTCCCAGGGAGTCGAGGATCGTTTCAAACAGGGCTGGAGGTTTGGGGGAACCAGGGTGCCGTCGAGCAGCTCTTCTTGATCGAGCAGAACCGGCTGCTCCTCTCCAAGCTGCAGTGCATGACAGATCTGGGCTTCCAGGGCACCAGTTCCATGGCTCAGGCGGTGGACCCTGAGACGAGTAAGGTGTTTGCATCTTGGGCGAAGGAGGCTAGCCACACGCTCAGCCTCTGCGAGACGCACAAGACGCTGAAAGACAAGTACCAGAAACTGCACGAGCACAGCGAGCTTCACACGAAGTTCAAGGCAGAGGCCACCTCCACCTGGCAGTGGCCCAAACTGTATCGAGCGAGGGCTACCCCAGTCTAGCGAGAGGTGTGGACAAGCAGAGAATGCGACGTGCACGAGGCCTGGGCGCAGACCCGGCTTCGACACGCGAGAGATTGCATGGAGTTCGTGAGGCTTCACCAGATACAGTGCTGCCAAATGTTCGAACAGGAGGTCCAGCTCGCGAAGCAACAACGGATCCTGTGCGACAAGCTCACATGTTGGTTCGCTGATGCAGGCAACGCCGGCACCCGTCGCCAGGAGCACACGGCATCCAAGGCCAAGCTCTACGTCGAGGCGTTGTTGGGCGATGAGTTGCCAAAAATCAGGAGCCGCATGGCTAAGAAGATTGAGCAAGAGAAGAAAAGACAGAGCCAGCTGGAGAATGCTGAGGCGAAGTGGCGTCAGCAGGACACCACCAAAGGCCTGCTGGCTTTGGCGTTGCTCGAGATGGAGCGTGCAGGCCCACGCGGCAAAGTGATAAGAAGGCATCTGAGACAGGTCCATTTTGGCATCTTGCCAAGACACTCGAAGCGACAGACGAAGGCAAGAATATCGTGAAGAAGCTCAACATCAAGAGCTACGTTCCCAAGGTTGGCGAAAAGGCGAATGTGCCAGACCAGAGCGTTATCGAACACCTTCTTAAGCACATCCTGGGCAAGGACAAACGCAATGGCGGCGGCGCGTCCTTGAGGGGAAGGTCCGGCTCACAAAGGCGAACTCCAGCAAGCCGTGGGCGATCCACGTCTAGCAAGAGCTCGAGGTCTTCCGAGGCTCCGAGGAGGAACTCCAATGCAAGGGGGCCGACGCAGGGGAGTCGATCTGCCTCAAGAGCCAGCTCGGGGGCGTCGAAGAGAACCTCGTCATCCAGGGGGCCATCTGGGTCGAAGAAGGTGCTGGTGAAGGCACCCACGCCTGCAGCCAGCAAGGGCAAGGGCAAAGGCAAGGGCCACCAGCACAGGCATGGTCGATACGATCGACCAACAAAACTGAGACGGCGGGGCAGGTGCTTCTGGGCAGGGGATGGTTCTGAGATCGACATGTACAAGTTTTCTCCAAGCCCACTTCCAAAGGGGTGCATTTGCTACCCGCCGATCTGACTGATGTGCATGTTCCCCCCATACGTCATTATATATTTACAACACGGTGGTGAATTCATTCCTGACCAAGGCCGGACCACTTCCAAGACTCTTGTCGCAAGAGCTGACAGACTCGCTCGAAAATGGCAAATCAATAGTTTTTTCAAGGATTCCACCGACCATTGCCGGCCTAGCTGCTGCAGACTGCCGAGCAGGTGGTCGCCGCCAGATAATCCAGTTTTGGCGTCGCTTCACCGGAGAGTTGGTTCGAGAGCTGGAGAAATTCGAGCCACGTAATTTCAGAAGCAATCAAGACTGGTTCGATCGCCTGGCTATCAAGTGGCTCCGGGAACACCGGGACCTCATCGGCATCTGTGACTGCGATAAGAATCTCGGGGACGCCGTTGTGTCGAGGCATTGGATCTTGAGGCAGGCCAACCTCCAATTCCAGAAAGGCTTCACGATCGTTGATACCGTCACGTTTCAAGCAGCGCAGTGCCAGAGTATAGCTAGATATTCGCAGCTGGTTGATTTGGCTTTGGAGCAACATTGCATTTCAAAACAAAATCAGCAATTTCTTCTGCACATGCTTTCGCGAACACATCAGGGCATCTTCCGGACCACTGTGAAAGTGCACAAATGTCCGCCAGCGAACCGGCCAACTTTAAATTCATCGAGTACATGGTTGGCGCCGGGATGCATCTTCCTCACAGAGCAGCTGGGTCCGCTGCAAAAAGACTGTCGTTGGGTGATCAGCTCGGCGGATGAATTTTTGGACCAGAGGAGGAGGCAACGTATTCCGGTTGGCTACAATCTCAGGACCATGAACGTCATCAATTTGTATCCCAGCATCGATCGTCGCCACTTGCTGCAGGTACTCGGGCGTAAGATCTGGGCAAGATGGGCCGCTGACCCAGTGAAAGCTGTCTTCCTCGTGAAGATGCTGGAACTGGTGCTCAGCAGCCTCTACGTCACCTTCAACGGGGTGATCTTGCAGTGCGACGACGGGGTGCCGACGTGCATGAGCACGGGGGTCATCCTAGCGAATGTGTACCTCGACGATTTCGATAAGTACGTAAACAACAATTTAAAGAGCCACTCGGTTTCGTACGACCGGCTCGTCGATGATGTGCGCATGGCTGACGACATGGACGACCCAATGATCTTGAATATATTCAACAGTTGGCATACTAGTATACAGTTTGAACAGTCATGAACAGGGTGTAGTTCATTTGTTAGACCTTATATCTGAAGATAGAAGCTTGTCTTGGGACTTGTATAAAAAAGCCCAGAATTTGTATCTCTATATGCCGTTCTCTTCTGCCCACAATCTTAGCTGCAAAATCGGTCTGGTGAAGGGGGAAGTGCGCAGGATCTGCCGTAGGACGCAATGTGTAAACACGAGGGCCCTGCATGTGGAGTTTTTGCCCAGAGGCTCCAAGACAAGAGGTTTCCCATGTGCTTCGTTAGGAAGATGTTCAACAACATGGCTAGCACTATCGCCAATCAAACCCGGGAGGAAGCCGGCAGACCTAGGAGGTTACAGCTCCGGGGCCGGCATTTCATGACAGTTGTGTACAGGAGAGACATCGGCGAATTGCGGTTGTGAAAGACTCTCGGCAAATGTAGCGGCACTTTGTCGAAAGTTTTGGGACCTGGCTCTAAGCAAGGCATTGCTTGGTCCGTCGGGCGGAACAGGTTCAGAAGTAACCACGCGTTCACATGGAGAAGAAAAGTTTGGCGGGCGGGGGACTAAAACGTTCTTTGGTCCCGGCTTCTCTCGTGTCTCACGCCGGCCTGGAGCCAACTGTAGGCCACTTCGTGGTCTTCGAGTTCCCAGAACTCCATTCCTGGGCATGATTTTGAATGCCTGAGAACTCCATTCCCGGGCCACATTTTGAATGCTGAGGCAGGCTGATGCTGAGGCTGAGGCAGGCTGAGGCTGAGGCAGGCTGAGGCTGAAGCCGAGGCTGAAGGCAGACTGAGGCTGAGGCTGAAGCAGGCTGAGGCTGAGGCTGAGGCAGGCTGAGGCTGAGGCAGGCTGAGGCTGAGGCTGAGGCTGAGGCTGAGGCTGAGGCTGATGCAGGCTGAGGCTGAGGCTGAGGCTGAGGCTGAGGCTGAGGCTGCAGGCTGAGGCTGAGGCTGAGGCTGAGGCTGAGGCTGAGGCAGGCTGAGGCTGAGGCTGAGGCAGGCTGAGCTGAGGCTGAGGCTGATGGGCTGAGGCTGAGGCAGGCTGAGGCTGAGGCAGGCTGAAGGCAGGCTGAGGCTGAGGCTGAGGCTGAGGCTGAGGCTGAGCAGGCTGAGGCTGAGGCTGAGGCAGGCTGAGGCTGAGGCTGAGGCTGAGGCTGAGGCTGAGCAGGCTGAGGCTGAGGCAGGCTGAGGCTGAGGCCGAGGCTGAAGGCAGACTGAGGCTGAGGCTGAAGCAGGCTGAGGCTGAGGCTGAGGCTGAGGCTGAGGCAGGCTGATGCTGAGGCAGAGGCTGAGGCTGAGGCTGATGCAGGCTGAGGCTGAGGCTGAGGCTGAGGCTGAGGCTGAGGCTGAAGCAGGCTGAGGAGGCTGAGGCTGAGGCAGGCTGAGGCTGATGCTGAGGCAGGCTGAGGCTGAGGCTGAGGCTGAGGCTGATGCAGGCTGAGGCTGAGGCTGAGGCTGAGGCTGAGGCTGAGGCTGAAGGCAGACTGAGGCTGAGGCTGAAGCAGGCTGAGGCTGAGGCTGAGGCAGGCTGAGGCTGAGGCAGGCTGAGGCTGAGGCTGAGGCAGGCTGAGACTGAGGCTGTGACTGCGACTGCCGTTGCCACTGCGACTGTCATCGCGAATGCGACTACGACTGCGAGAACAGCAGAATTCTACAACTGGATTTTCATCTGAATCTTAAGGGGAATGCTTCCAGATGTGCTCCTACACATCGCTGTTAGGTTGCTTTGCCGAGATAATTTTGTTCAGGCCGTCTGACGAGCCGGCGAGGCGGGCGAAAGCTCACCACAGAGCGACTGCAAGACGAGCTATCACATACATCACAGGTTTGAGATCGTCAGCTGTTGTTGTGTGCTGATGATGTGCCCTGCCATGCCACTTAGAGAGAGAGGGGGGGCGGCGGCAGAGGGCGAAGCCTTGACGGATCACGGAAAATAGTAACGATGCAACACACGGAGGGGCCATCTGCCATCTGCGAGTGAGGGCGCTGGCTTACTGCCGCGGCCCCGAATCGCCCTCCTCGCGGCAGAAGGCCAGCATGGACCCGCGCGCTGCCCTGCAGACGTCGTCGTCTCGGTCCTCGGCGAGCCGCGTCAGCAGCCCCGCGGCCCACGCGGCGAAGCGCGGGCCGCCGTTGCCGCAGCACGCCGGCAGCGCCAGGCACGCCGCCCTGCGGACGAGCCACGCCTCGTCCTCGGCGAGCTGGGCCAGCACCCCGACGGCACACGCGGCGGCCGCCGCCCCGCCCTCCTCGCAGATGGCCGGCAGCGCCCCGCACGCTGCCCTCCGGACGTGCTCGTCCGAGTCCGCGGCCAGTCTGGCCAGCGGCCCCGCGGCGCGCGCGGCGAGCTCCGGGCCGCCCTCCCTGCAGCAGGCCGCGAGCGCGCGGCACGCTGCCGCGCGGACATCCCTGTCGGGGTCCCCGGCGAGCTGGGAGAGCAGCCCCGTGGCACGCGCGACCAGCTCCAAGCCGCCCCCGCCGCAGCTGGCAGGTAACGCCTCGCACGCCGCTCTGCGGACCGACCAGTCAGAGTCTTCCGCGAGCCCGGCGAGGGTCTGCAGCGCGCAGGCCGCCGCCGCGCCCCCCCGGCGCGCGAAGGCGCCCAGCTCCTCGGCGGCGCGAAGGCGGATCGTCGCCTCCCACGACCTGCACATGCCTTGGATGGCGCCCAGCCTCTCCAGAGCGTCCTGGGCCGCCCGCGCCTGCGAGGTGCTCTCAGCCGCGCGCAGCCTGCGCATCGCGGTGCTCGCCGCCTGCGCGTCTGCCGACAGCTGGGCCCAGCTGCAGGACAGGAGCCTCAGGACACGCGCGGCGGCCTCGGACCCAGCCCTTTCGCAGCAGGCTGGCAATGCCTCGACCGCCGCCTTGCGGACGTGCCCAAACGAGCTATGAGTGGCGAGTTCTGCGAGCATCTCCGCGGCCCGCGCGGCCAGCTCCGGGCCACCACTTCGGCAGCAAGACGGCAACGCCCCGCACGCCGCCTCGCAGACTGGCCCGGAGGAATCTCGGGCCAGCTCCGCCAGTAGCGCGACGGCCCGCGCGGCGACCTCAGGGCGGCCCTTCTCGCAGCAGGCCGCTAGCGCCGCAGGCACAGCCTTGCGGACGTGCCATTCGGAATGCCTGGCGACCGCGGGCATGAGCTCCACGGCCTGCGCAGCCAGCTCCGAGCTGCCCTCCTCGCAGCAGGCCAGCAGCGCCTTGAGCGCCGCCCTGCGGACGGGCCCGACTGGGTCCTGCGCGAGCTCGGCCACCAGCCTCAGGGCCCGCGCAGCTCCCCAAGGGCTGCCCGCGCTGCACCAGGCCGATAGCTCCTCGAAGGCTGCCCCGCGGATGCCGTGGTTCGGGTCCCTGGTGAGGCTGGCCAGCAGCTCCAGAGCTCGCCCGGAAGCCTCGGGGCCCCCCCTCGCGCCGCAGGCCCGTAGCGCCCCGCACGCCGCCCCGCGGACGGGCTCGGAGGCGTCTTCGGCGCGCTGCGCCAGCAGCCCCACGGCCCGCGCGGCGAGCTCCGGGCCGCCCGCCTCGCAGCAGGCCGGCAGCGCCGCGGTCGCGGCGGCTCGGACCCCCTCGTCCGGGTCCTCGGCGAGCCTGGCCAGCAGGCGCAGGGCGCCGGCCGCCGCCGCGCCCCCGCCGTGTGCGAAGGAAGCAAGTGCCTCGCAGGCGCCGCTCTTGACCGCTGCGCTCGTGGATGCCGCCTCGCCCTGGAGGGCCCCCAGCCTCTCCAGCGCCTCAAGGGCGGCCTGCGCCTCCCGGGGGCCCTCTTCCGCGAGCAGCCTCCGCATCGTGCGGCCCGCGGCCTGCGCCTCCTCCGCCAGCTCGGCCCAGCCGCCGTCCAGCAGCCCTGGGGCCCGCAAGGCCGCCTGCTTCAGCTCCAGCGCGTCCCTTAGGTAGTGAATGAACGAGCCGTCGTCGTTGAACGAGTCGGCCTCGTTGCCACAGATGAGCCCCAGCTCGCTTCGCAGGCGGCGCAGGATCGCCGCCCCGAAGTCGCCGCCCCGCAACGAGCCAGGCGGCGCCAGCGGCTCGCACTTCAGCTTCTGCCCCAGCTCCCTCTTCGCCTCGCTCTTCAGATTACGGCACATCTCCGTCGCCACTTTGCGCCTCTTGCCTATCACGTCTTCGATTGTCATGGACGTGAGGTTGAGGTTGAGTCGGAGGGAGACCACCAGAACCATCCCTTCGACGGAGGTGCCGAGAACCTGAAGGCTGGTCAGCGGTGGGAAGCAGAGCTCTCTCTCGTGGGGGTACTGGGAGATCCACGACAGATCAGCACCTCTGTCGATCATGCCCGTTTGGATCTCCAAAATCGTGCCTGCCCCCCTCCTCGGATCCGACGCGTACTGCATGGCGACCTCGCGATTCGACGTGGTGCTCATGAAGCCGTACTCGATCCCGCCTCTGACCCCGAAGGCGTCCTCCTCCCAGAACTGCTTCGGCAGGCGGCCACCCGCTGTTCCACGGACGACCACACCCGCCTTGGACAGCTTGCTGATCTTCACCAGCGCGGACGCCAGGACGTGGATGGTGGTCGTGTACCGATTCACGGCTGCTCCTCTGCCGGTCCTGTCTGCGGCCTCGGCGCTAGGCCCCCCGCCGCAGAGGCTCAGAAATCGATCGCGCATGACCTTACTTGGCTCACCTCGAAGAGGCCCGCCGCGACACACGGCGTTGTACTTTTCAAACAGTGGGCCCGTATACAGGCACATGGCGATGGCCTCGACCAGGAGCACACACTTCTCTCCTGCATCCTGGAGCTCCCTGTTCTTGTCCGCCAGGCCTGCGAGCCACATGCGGTGCCGATTCTTCGACCGAGGGTGCTCAGCGTTGATTGTCTCACCTGGCCACTGGCGCGGACGCGGCAGCTCGGAGACAAGGCCTGCCAGCCTCTTGGCGACTTTACGCCACTCCTGCAGAACTGTGTCTGAGGCGCCAAGCTTGCTGCCGTCACCGCTCAGCTGGTCAAACAAATCCTGCAGCACAAGAAGCCATTCGACCTGGGACGTGGTAGTGATGCCGTAGTTGCCCGTCTCCCACTCCGTTTGGGAGTCACACCGACTGCAGTGGTCGTCGACCATGGCCCTGGGGATGTCCGCGCTGGGAGAGCCGATCCGCTCCTCCAGGCCACTGAAAAAGTCCGTCTTGGTGCCGAAGTCGAACTCGAAGCCGCCCTCGGCGGCGAACTTGCTGTTCAGGGCCTCGCCAGAGGCAGCAGCGCTGCCGACGAGCGCAACGCCGCGCTCGACGATGACTTCGGCCAGCCTCGCGCCGATGTTCTGCGCGTCGAGCCGCTGCGCGATGGTCCGCCTGATCGCCTCCGCGTCCTCGATCCCTTTGCGGCCCACGGCCTTGATGAATCCGAGGGACGCGTCCGGGGCGGCGAGGATGTCACCTGGCACCAGGGCCTCGTCGGAGGGATCCAGCTATACACCTATATACCGACCTTGGCCAGGCCCATCCTGGGCCCAGGATCGGTGTATTCCTGGCTTGCCGAGGAACGCATATACATTTATCCTGGGCCCAGCACTGGCCTGGCCAGCACTCTTGTATCGGTGTGCGGCAGATTCATGTCGTGACGACGTTGGCGTTGGTTCCTGACACCGCGGGGATCGTTCAACCTTGAACGATCGGCGACCGAGTCGGGGTCGCCGGCGGCGTTCAATGTTGAACGCCGGCGGTGGGGTCGTCGCCAGTCGACGCGACGCGAACCTGCCGTATACCGGCGGCGAGGGAGGGGGGGGAAGTGAGAAGGAGACGGCCTTCTCAGAAGGCGGCGGGGCTTCTCAGAAGCCCTCGCGCCTTCTGAGAGGTTTCCCGTGTCTTCGGGGAAGGCTTCGAAAACTTCACAGAAGGTTAAGGGGCTTCCGAGCCTTCTGAGAAGGCCTGCCCCTTCTCACTTCCCCCCCAGGCTCGCCGCCAAGTGTAGATGGGCCTGTTTTTCACCACCACCACCACCACCATAAGTTGGAGGGGGAGGGGGTCCTCCTCCTCCTCCTCCTCCTCCTCCTCCTCCTCCTCCTCCTCCTCCTCTTCGTCCTCTTCCTCCTCCTCCTCCTCCTCCTCCTCCTCCTTCCCCACTCCAACTTAAGGTGGTGGTAGCCGACGCCCTGCGGCCGCGGCAACGGCGGCGCTCAGCGCCCGCCCGAAGCAGCCCTCGAGCTCCCACGCGGGGCCGGCCTCGCCCGCCTCCCCGCGCGGGCCCACGGCCTCGCCGCTGCGGCTGCGCCGCTCCGGGGTGGGCCCCTTTCTGGAGGGGTGTGGTTCTCGACTTCGGGAACCAGCTCTTGAATTCAAAAACCTGTCCTTCGAATTCAACAGCAAGTCTCCCAGCACTGAAGAGGGTAGGATGGCAAAGGGCAGGGTAGAGTATCAGCTCACACAGCTGGCTTTCCTGGCGCCTCCCGGCGCTGGGAGGCGCCCATGTATCGAGGAATGGGCCCGGCGGCGGGGCATGCAGCAGATTTAGTAACTCGGCGGTGGACAAAACTTCCTTTATCAAACCACCCTTTAGTGAAAACGGCCTAGGTCCGAAACCGACGGACCTGGACCCGCAAAAATGACGGCGGCGACGCCCTCTCGCGAACCGAAAACGGCCAATTCGCTAATCGTTGTGTCAGGATAGGTCTATCAACCTCTGAGTAACCCCCCCTTTCCCTATCCTACCCCTTTGTACGGCCGGATCTTTGAGGGGGGACGATCTGCTCAGGGGGAGAACACAAAATTCGAATCGCCCAAAAGGTCGGCGATGTGATCTCGATAGCGATGCCCGGAATCTCCAACGAACTTCTTCTTATTCCTCCGGACGTTTTTACCCGAGTTCGGCCTCCGGGTCGGGCCCCGGGGGCAATAAACCCTGGGCGAAGATTTGCTCCGGGGAAAGGGTCAGGACAAGTCTCCAGATGTCTGGGGACATGGCGTCGCCGATAGATCGACGATATGGTGTCGATCGCGAAATCCCGCACATTCCTCGGCGGGGGGTGAGGCCCTGGTCCCCATTGGCGATGAGTGGGCGGTTGGGGGATCGAGGTCCCCCCCCCCCCTGAACCAGCACCCCGCCCCTGTCGATGCTCCTGACCTCTGCTCGGCGGATGTCCTGGAATGAGGGGAAGCGCCATAAGCGACATAAACATAATCTTTCGGAGGTCCGCTCGCGCGCGCAAGGGGGCGGCCCAGCGCCGATCCGAAAGATGCGCGCAGACCTGCGAGAGCATCGAATGGAAGATCCCCAGCACCACCGGCACGGCCTTGGCCCCTCCGGCCGTCACTCATCCCCCCAGGGTGGGGGCACGTGCTGTTCCCTCTGGTCTTCGCGGGGCCTGCCCCCACCTTGGATGGCGGGCCCGGTGGGGACGGGGATCGGTTCCCAGACCCCCGACGTCGCGACATTTTTTCAAAATGTAGACCCCCAAAAGTCTAGACCCGTTTCCGATGACCCGCTTTGCATCCTGGTTCATTTTTTGACAGTCCCGAGGCCCAGTCAGGGCCCCCAGAGGCCGAAAATAAGGAAAAACCTCCCGTCGTGATCTTTTCACGCCGCGAGGGAATCTGGGCTCGACGATGCTGACCTATGCCGCGTCTCTAGAGGCCTCCTAGATGGGGTCGGAGGATCGCGCCGCATCGCCGATGCATCGACGATGCATCGGCGATGCATCGGGGATGCACCAGCGACGCGTCGGCGACGTCGGCCGTACATCGGCGACGTCGACGTGAAGCCAATCGGGCCCCACATCGAATCCCAACTCGCCGATGCATCGACGATGCGGCGCGATCCTCCGACCCCCCCCCGCTCCGAGACCGCCTCTGGTCGGGAGACTCTTCATGGGGGGGGATCCCATGGGGGGATAGGATCCCAGGGGGGGGGATCCCATAGGATCCCCTGGGGATCCCATGGAGAGTCTCCCGATCTGGGAGGCCTCCGGGCGAGACCTCTGCCGCGTCCCTCCTCCCCCCGTCCTCGGCCGTGCGCAGCAGGCCCTCGAACGCCCCGGCCGGCGGGGGGCCGGCGCCTGCCCCGCGGGACCGGGCGACCTCCGGCGGGGGGCGGCGGGGGCGGAGACGTGGCCAGAGGGGCGGGCACTGCACGTGCCTTCGCCGGGGAGCCTCGTCAGAGGCAAGCGCGATCGGAGCCCCTCGACGCCTCCTCCTCCTCCTCCTCCTCACTCCTCCTCCTCCTCCTCCTCCTAACTCCTCCTCCTCCTCCTCTTACTCCTCCTCCTCCTCCTCCTAACTCCTCCTCCTAACTCCTCCTCCTCCTACTCCTCCTCCTCCTCCTCCTCCTCCTCCTCCTCCTCCTCCTCCTCGGGGGCAGCAGGGGCGGACATGGCCAAGGGGCGGGCAACGTGCCTTCGCTGGGGAGCCTTTTCAGAGGCGTGTGCGATCGGAGCTCCTGGATTCGTTTTTACGTCGCAGCGCGGGAAGAGGCAGTCCGCACGCGCGCGCGGGCGGTCTGGACAACGGAATGCGCAAATTCACTGGCGGCAGAACGGGGGAAAGACAGCACAAAGCGGCCGCGAGAGAGAGGGGAGGGAGGGGAGGGCACTCACATGGCGAGGTGCCCCTGGACACATGCCATGTGTTCTCCTGGGCTGGCCCTGGGAAGCAATCGGTCCCCCCCCCGCCCTCCCCCCTCCCCCCAGCAGAGGAAATCACAAACGGCGCCTCCAGCAACTGGCAAGGACGGATCCGACATCCCCCGCGGAGTCCCGCGAAAGATTACCTCAAATGGCGCTCAGAACTAGGGGAATCCTCTCTGCTTCCCAGGGCCACCGCGAGGCAAGAAGACCTCGCCGAACTGGCGAGAACGCCCGAAAACCCGTGACGAAGACGTCCGGAAACGTCTGCTGGCTCGCCGCCGCGTCGACACGATGCGATCCTGGCGATGCCCGCCCCTTGTGGCAGCCCGCCGCGGCCTCGTCGCGCAGGCGCTGCGCGGAGGGCGGGCCGGCGCGAGCCGACGCGGGCCGCGCCGCCGACGGAGGCGGCGGGGCGCGGGGCAGCGGGGAGCTCGGGGACCTCGCGCCCGCCATGCTCGGGGTGCCGCGGGGAGCATCGGAGGGGCTCGGTGTCTAGAGGCAGAGTACCAGCCAGCCCTCATAACAAGGGCGCGCGATAAGAATGCAAGGGCTTGGAAGGCCATGTTGGCACTTCGCGAGCGGGGCGCGGCCAGCGAAAGCGGCCAAGGGTGGGCCGAAAGGGAAGGATGTCAAGGTAATCTTGGAAAATTGCTCATCCTTGCTATGCGGGTTGACTGTAGATACATGCGAGGATTGCCGGCGTGGGCCCAAAACAGTCACTTGATGCACTGTGGATGTGTGAGCTATGTGGTGCAAGCTATGGTAACCAAGCTGTGCGGTGCAGTCGATGTGGTGTGTTCTGTGCGGTGCAAGCTGTGCGGTGCAATCTATATAGTTTATGGTTTAGGCTCTGTGGTGTAAGCTGCGCGGTTCATGCTGTGTGGTACAGGCTGCATGGTGTAAGTTGCGCGGTGCAGTGTTGCCAGCTATGTAGTGTAAGATATAGGGCAAGCTAGGTGTTGCAAGCTATGTGGTGCAATCGTTGTGGTGCAATTTCTGTGGTGCAATGTATGTGGTCTTAGCTAGGTGGTCTAAACTATGCGGTTCAAGCTGTACAGTGCAAATATGTGGCGAAAGCTACGTGGTGCAAGCTATGTGGTGTAAGATAGATGGTTCAATCCATGTGGTGCAAGCTGTGAACTAGGTGGTGCAAGCTATGTAGCGGAAGCTGTGGCGCAAGCTATGTGGTATTAGATGTGTGGTGCAAGCTGCGTGGCGAAAGCTATGTGGTGTAAACGATGTGGTGCAACCTATGTGGTGCAAACGATCACTTGCTCAACTTGAAACTGTCATCTCCACTGCTCGTGCAAACATCCCACCCTCCCACCCGCAACTTGGTCGCAAGACCTCTTAAGACCGTGACGGTAGGTACCAAATGGCACTTGGCAGCGACACCGACGCCGACAACGGCAGCGACAACGACGATGACGACGCCAACAACGCCTACGACGACACTGGCGGCGTCTCCAACGACTTCGACGACGACGACAACAACGACGACACCGACGACGACGAGGATGCCGACGCCGACGAAGATGATGACAACGCGGACGACGACGACACCGACGACGAGGACGACGCCGACGACGACGACGACGCCGACGCCGACGACGAAGACGACGACGACGACGTCGCCAACGAAGACGACGACGACGACGAGGACGACGAAGAAGACGACGACGACGAGGGCGGAGGGAAGACGACGACGACGACGGCGGCGGCGACGAAATAGGAGGGACGACGCCGAAACGCCGACGACGGACGACGACGACGAGGGAGGAGGAAGAACGACCACGGCGACAACGACGACGGAAACGACGACGACGCCAAAGAGGACGACGACGACGACGAGGAAAGACAGAGGACGACGACGGCGACGACGACGACGAGGGAGGAGGGACGGCGACGACGACGGCGACGACGACGCAAGAGCGCGTGCGCACGTTTTTTTTGAAAATACGTGTTGCGAAACCATGTGTGTTGTATGTTTTTTGGACACTCGATGTTGAAATCCTTCCGAAACCCAGGTTTGTTTAGGATTTCGGCATGCGTGCGCGACGACGCGCGCGCGTGCACTTCGTATCGTTTTTGTGCAAGGGATTCTCGCGACGGCACGCGCGCAAAGGAGATCGAACGATTTCAACATGCGCGCGCGCGAAGCCCGCGTGATAGCATGTGTTTGAAAATCTTGAAAAGCCAATAGTTTTCTCAAGATTTCGCAGCAGCGCGTGCGCACGCTTTTGTTGAAAATGCGTGTTGCGAAACCCAATGTGTTTTTTGTAACTTGTTTTGGACACTCGAGTTTGTAATCCTTGCGAAACCGAGAGTTGTTTTAGGATTTTGGCATGCTCGCACGACGACGCGCGCACGTGCACTTCGTCAATTTTTTTGCAAGGGATTCTCGACAACTTTTGATTTGTGATTAACGAGTGCGCGCGCATAGTATTTTGTGCAGAGGATGTCGGGGGGGGCCGATACCGGCTTGGCTGGGATAGTATGAATTCACAGGTCGGATGGACATAGGGTCAGAAACCTATGTGTTTTGCATCGGTTCCCTGGGGGCTCTTCAACCCCGGGGGGGTGGGTGGTAGAACCGATCTTCTTTTAGGTAGGCGAATTGACGTGGCGCCCACGAGGCGCCCGCGACTGGGCACTAACCGGGCGCCAGCCGAAACCCCGGGTCACTCTTCCAGCGCGGGGCGCCCACGACCGGGCACCAGCTGGGCACCAGCGGCAACCTCGGGTTGCCGATTGCCCCCCCCCCCCCCCACTCGAGGCGCCCACGAAGGGCCCACGGGCGCCCAAGACCGGGCACCAGCCAGCATCTTGGCTCACCCATCCACTCCCCTTGACCAGAGCGAAGTAAGAACCCCCCAGTGCAGACAGTGCTTGGGGAAGAAGACATCCCGCGAATAAGAAATCCATGGGCACGTTGGTCGACGACCTCTGAGCTTCCTAAGGTGCCCCAAGGCTTCTGCGGGTCCCCAGGTCCATCGAGGAACACAGCAGCTCCGTGGGGCCCTGCTGGCAAGCTGGGTTCTTCTCTGCTGTGCCCACTGTGCATGAGGTTCGTGCCGTGACGACTTGTGACTCGGTTTCTGATACCCTGTGGAACGTTCTCAACCCTCCACGATCGAAACTTTCCGATAGCGGGGATCGCTAGATGTCTTCAACGCCCGCACTGGGGTCGCCGCCGCGTCGACACGACGCGAACCTGCCGTACACCACGTCGCCTGGTCAGCCACAGATCCCATGGATTCGGCGAAGAAGTTCGGTGTCTGGACGCCCCAGCGTCTCACAGGCCGGGGAGCTGGGGCATCCATGCACCAGCCACATTGGCCAGCCTGACGGCACGGTCTATGCGTCGAGCCCATCCCATGACACGGTGCGCACTCCGCGGGCTCGCGCGCCAGAGAACAGACGGCTGCTAACCGAAGCTGTGATGACCATTCTCACCGAGAGCACAAGGAAGAGGAGGGAGGGAGGGAGGGAGCAGGAGTAGGAGGAGGACGAGGAGCTCCTTTGAGTCTAGGACGGCGGCAGCGGAAGCGGCGGCGGCAGCAGGAGCCGCTGGCAGGGGGGCGGGGGGGCGCGAGCCACCCCGATCCTCTCCCCCGGGGGACTGGCCTCTCAGCCCGGATCGGCCCTCATCCCAGACCGTTGTCTCACGGTCGTCGGCCCTGGATCCCGGATCGGCCCTCCGGGCTCCTACATCCCGGGCCTTTTTCTCTCGGGGTCGGAGCAGCTGGGGTCGGAGGATCGCGCAGCATCGCCGATGCATCAGCCACGTCGGCGATGCATCGGCGACGTCGGCGTGGAGAAAATCGGGCTCCGCATCGGCGATGCGGCGGGATCCTTCGACCTCATCTGCGCGTACCCAATTCGTGAGGCCTGTTTTTTTTTGACCATGGAAATCCTGGATCGGTCATCCGAAGCTTTTCTCGCACCAGTTCGTTCTGTTCAAAGCAATTCAAAGATAGAAGGGGGCCAGCGAACCACATCCCAGGAATCCCAGTATTTTCTATATTTTCGCAATATCCGTCTTCCCCCTACTTCCCATGTTGTTCAATATTTCCCCGCGAATCGACGATTGTTTGTGTTTTTGTGCTTTTTGCTTCCTGGGTAATACTCAGACAGAGAGTCCCGAAAGACGACCTGTGGGCGACGTGAGCGGTGAAAACAACCTCCCCGCCCGCGACGGCGACGCCGACAGCACACCACGACGACGACGACCACGGCGACGACGGCGGCAGCGGCGGCGGCAACGGCGACAACGACGAAGACGCCGACGACAACGGCGGCGGCAGCGACGACGACGACGGCGCCCGCGCCGGCGACGACATGACGATGCCGCCGAACGACTGCCAGCGACAACGTGCCCTTCGGCTCCGCTGCCCTCGCTGCGGACCCGTGCACGCATACGCTCCGCTCGGCTTGCTGGAGGTCGGCCGCAGCTGGCCCCCCTCCCCCCCGTAGTTTGAGCTGCTCGACCGCGCGGCCTCGAGAAGCCCGAGTGCCTATCGCCTTTCATCATTCGGCTCGCCGCCGGGTGCCTGGACGCCTCAGCTGCGACAAGACACGGGTCTTACACGAGATGGCATAGCGACCTTGCGCGGTGGCTTACGCAGGCCGCCAGCGCGGCACGTCATATTGGAAACGAGGGCGCTTACGCACGAGCCTACGCGGGCAGCTTTCGCGCGAGTGTCGGCGCGGTCGACCCCGGATTCGTCGGTCACTCACCTGGCGTTGGTGAATTAGGGAGCAACTCCTTGGAGGTCTTCGAAAGATCCATCAAAAACGATTAAGACCGATTCGATTAAGCGGCCGTCAGCTTGGATTCGGCCAGAGTCTGGATTAAGCCAGACTGTCCCGGATTAGGCCGGCCTTCGACTGCGGATGTGCCGGCGCCGACTCAGAAGTGCAACTCCCAGGAGCTGCACCCTGCGTATGACCTTCTCAGTGCGCTGGCCCCGGGGAGGTAACGCCCCCCTGTATCGGGTTGCAAAGGTGCCCCTGGCCTCAGGTGCCTCCAACTTTTCGATCGATTTTGGACGCTCTGGGGCCCCTGGACCTCGTGAGGGGTGCTCTGGAAGACGTGGGGGCCTCCTTTGAAATCCTGGAGGCGCCTCGGGCCAGGGGCACTTCCAGCAACACCCGATTCCTCCCCAGGGCCAGCTTTCCGCCCCGGATCCGTGCCTGATGGCCCTGGGTGGGGCCCGAGAGAACGGGCCCCAGCAACTGCCGAGACCGAAGAAAACACAAGACGCCCGCAGACCCCAGACCGGAAACATCAGAGATCTCGTGGCCGATCCAGGCGTGCAATGCTGGGTCCCCAACGTCGTGCTTAGTTCATGACGTGGACCCCACGGGGTCTGGACCCCTTCCCGGGGACCGAGTTTTCATCCTGAGTCGTTGTTCGACGGCCCCGAGGCCCGGTAAAGGCATCCGGAGGC